TTTTCATTCAAGAATAGTATTTTGACTTTAAATAGATTTTACAATTTAATTATTATATTATATAAAATAAATAGATTAAATATTAAAGAAAAATGAAAAAAATGTAAAAATGTAAAAAAGAAACCATTGAGTTGACCAGATTTTATGAGATTTGACCAAGTTAATTGAGTTTGGTTGAATTTGATTACGTGTTAACCAGACATGCATTACTTGAAAACCTTTGATCCACTCTAAATTTAACCCTCTCTCTCTCTCTCTCTCTCTCTCTCTCTCTCTCTCTCTTATATTTTATTTTATTTTATTTTATTTTTTTTATGCTTTGAATTTTGTTCTCAATTCAGCAATTCGCATTTAACGGATCAACTAGAAGTTACTTTTGCACCTTTCATCTAAGGAGGACCTATGTCCAAATATTATGTCCTTCAATTGGCTTTCTCATTGACTTAAGGCAGAAGTGATCTCTTCTCCTCAGTTGGCTAATCAAACTCCTCTCATAAGGAAAAATAAGGCTGCTGCTACTTCTAATTTTGTTGGCCTTGTTCTGTTATCAGTGTCCAACTTGAATTTCTTTCTACTAAACCTGCTCCCGGTACAAACAATACACTAGCTATCTTTGAACTTTAGTCTTGATTTTGATATATATGTTCGATCTCATTAGAGTTTGAATAAATAAAGTAAAAATATCGAACAGTTTTCATGTAGATCCATGGGCTTAATTATTAGAAAAGAGAAAAGAAGCTTCATTTGTTCTTTTTTTTTTTAAGCATCATTTCTTGTTAGATTTCTCATTTTTAAAATGAAAATCATGTGGAGATTTTATACAAATAAGTACACAGCTTTTTACAACTTTTTTAGTTAAAGATATGATATTATTTCATTATCAATTAAGGTTATCACCTTTTAGAAATATCTAATCAAGTGATATTTGCAATTTTACTAAAGAACTACTAAGTTGATTGACATACATGCATGGTTATTCCCTTGATTAATAATTTTTAAAAAATAATAACCTTAATTAGTATAATTGTAAAGGTTATATTCTTAATTAAAAACTTTTAAAAAGTGATAGTTTTAATTATTAAAGAAAAAAAATTATATCATTAATTAAAATTTTGTTGAAAAATTATATTCTTATTGGTAGGAAATCTCTAATCTTGTGTGTGGTCTTGTACTCTTTTTGGGGTACTTCAAGTAAATAGAGAAGTTACTTCAAGTGATCATATTCGTATTATTTTTTTTCTCATTTCAAATATTTTAATTTTTTTCCTATCATTGATGCATTTTTGTTTTACATAATTATAAATTTGAGACCCACTTAAATACTTAAAAAAAATACCCACTACAATATCTCTTTTTGACCTAATTAAAAGTGAATTTGGGTAAATTTTTTTTTTTTTTTAAAAAGAATTTGGGTCACCTCTTCTGTCAATTTCTCAAACCATAAACTTTTCTCTTCTTGCAAAAACTGCCAGAAATTGTTTTGCGCCGCTTTCGCTTTTTGCAGGTTATTGCAATTCTTTGCTTGTTTGCATTTTCATTTCTATTGTTGGACCTAATCTTATGGTTCACCTCTTTATTAGGAATGTTAGGCAATGGGAACTCAGTCCCAAATTGAGAATGCGTATGATTGAGATGCTTCTAATTGATTCTGCTATTTTTTTTTCTTAATTAATATGCTTCTAATTTGCTGATCAAATATATACATGTAGAGAGAGAGAGAAACGATCCATACATTTCCTTCTACATTTATCTGCTTCTGCAATTTATCCATACTTTACCTTCTGCATTTGTTTTACTAAAATCAACTAGACCCATTGTTTAGAGGCTTAATATATAATCTTAATCCTAAATATGGTATTGTAACAAAAAAATTTTGTATCTTTTGTAAACAATTTTTGTTGTGTTCTTAGGAATGACATTTTTTTAAGACTATTTAATATTGTTATGGCTTTCGGTTTACAATAAAGTTGTGCGTAAATTAATTATCCTAACTAATTTTTTCTCATTTTTTTTTATTTCGTATAGAAAATAAATTTAATAACATTACTGCACCTAACCCTCTGGGCCAAGTGGCCTTCAGACTGTCTTTGCAGATGTATTACCCTCCGCCATGATGGTTCGAAACCCACCTTTGTAAAACTTGATCAAAAAAAAAAAAAAATTAATGACATTACTACTACATTTTAGGAATTCATCGATGGAGAAAATTCTTGAGAAAGCTGAGAATTTTGTAGACCACTACAGAAAACTTGAAAAAGATACAAATGAGTTGAAAAGCGAATTTCAGTTTCTAAAGAGGAGAAAAATTGACATTGATTCAAGAATAGAAACAGAGGTTCGCCTGGGGCAAGTGGTGAAAGAAGAAGTAAAGGGCTGGCTTGAAGATGTTAAAAAGATGGAAGAAGACATACAAGATGTTGAAGAAAGGGTGCACAGTGTTTCACGCTACAATCGTATCAGTCTTGATATACTCGTGCGTGAAAAAATTGAAGAGGTGAAGAGAATTCAAGAGAGGGGCAATTTCACTGAAGGCCTTGTGATTGAGAGAGCTCCAGCTCCTGGACTCATATTTCCAACAGAAAATTTAGAGGGTTCTTCTAAAGATGAAATTTGGAAGTGCTTGATGGGCAATGAAGTTGGAATGATTGGGGTTTGCGGGATTGGTGGAGTTGGGAAGACCACAATCATGCAGCATATTAACAATGATTTGGTGAGGGAGGGCAGATTCCAAAAAGTGATTTGGGTTGTTGTATCATACCCTCTCAAAGTTTCTGAATTACAAACAAAGATTGTTGATGCTATGAAGAAAACACTTCGAGAAAAAGAAGAGATGAGGCGGGCAGCAGAACTAATGGAGATAATGGGAAGAGAGAGTTTTGTGCTAATTTTAGATGATGCATGGGAAGAGTTTTCTCTCAAGGAAGTTGGAATCCCAGAACCAACTGTGCAGAATAGGAGCAAAGTAGTTATCACTAGTAGATCAGCTAAAGTATGTAATAATTTGCGTTGTAAGATTGTTGAAGTGCGGCCTCTTTCACCAAAGGAGTCTCTAAACCTTTTCCTTGATAAGGTAGGACGTGACGTTTTAGAAGTTGAAGGGTTGGAAGAAATCTTGAATTCTGTTGTGAAGGAGTGTGGCGGTTTACCACTAGCAATTGTTGTAATAGCAGGGAGCATGAGGGGAGAATATGATATTAGGGAGTGGAGAACTACACTAGATGAATTACAACAATGTGTAAAAAGCATGGAAGGTATGGAGGATAAGATATTTATGCGGTTAAGATGGAGTTATGACCGTCTAAGGAGTCCAGAGATCCAACAATGTTTTCTGTATTGCTCCTTCTTCCGGGAAGATTATGAGTTTTCAAGAAAGGAGTTGATTGAAAATTGGATTGATGAAGGATTGATTAATGAGTCGGGAAGCAGACAAAAAGCTTATGATAAGGGCCAACGTTATTTAAATAGACTTGAAAGGAACTACTTGTTAGAGAAAATTGTTACGCACCGTGTTGCTTTTAAGATGCATGATGTAGTAAGAGACATGGCTATTAAAAGCATTGGTCCTGAAGTTAGATATATGGTCAAAGCTGGTATGAAATTGTCAAAGGTACCAAATGAGCATGACTGGGCAATTGATCTTAACAAGGTATCTCTAATGGCAAATGGCATTTCAAAAATTCCTGTTGGTTTGTCCCCGAAGTGTCCGTTGCTGTCAACTTTGATATTGTCAAGTAATCCTAATTTGTCAGAAATTCCAAGTTCCTTTTTTGAAGATATGGTTGGGCTTAAGGTTCTTGATCTTTCTGATACTGATATTGAAGCTTTACCCGATTCCATCTCTAACTTGGTGAATCTCTCTGCACTGCGGTTAAGGGGGTGTAAGAAGTTAAAGTACTTGCCTTCCTTAGAGGAGCTTAGGGCATTAAAGAAGTTGGATCTGTGTATGGTAGGGATAGAGGTGGTCCCTCAAGGCATGGAGATGTTGGTAAGTCTTGAATATCTTGATTTATATTGTCAAAATTTGAAAGAGATTCCAACGGGAATATTACCTAGCCTTTCCAGTCTCCAGTACTTGGTTGTGCATCCAAGCATCTCAATTACTAAAGGAATAAATTTAGAAGAGGTTTCTAGATTGAGCAAGTTGGAGAGTTTGGAATGTGGAATGGAGAGCATACAAGACTTCAACTATCTTGTCAATAAGTCCAAAGATTTTGTAAGTCTTACGGCTTATGATCTTCGACTGACAACAAGTAAAGAAGACCTCACACGTTATCACTTTGGTGGTGAATGTCAATGTAAGGTTTTAATTGCTAAATGTGAGATTGGAGAAGAATGTATAGTGCTTCCACATAAGCTTGAGGAGTTGTGGATCGCTTATTGTAAGAACATGAAAAACATGAGATGCAGCTTAAACAAAATATTTTTGTTAGAAAATGCAACCGAGTTGAGAAATTGTTCTATTTGGGATTTTGAAGGGATAGAGTGCATGGTTGAGTTGGACTCATCGTCCTCCTCATTTTGTTGTCCAACACTGGATAAGCTCGAAGAGTTGAACCTTGGCGGCTTGCCTAACTTGAGTGTACTCGTGAGAGGGGAAGGAGTAGCAACATCACCTCACATCTTTTCAAATCTTACACAGCTTGATATGTGGCAATGTTCGGGAATGAGGAAGTTATTTCCACTTGAGCTACTACAGGCCCTCCAAAACTTAGAGGTGATTAAGGTTCGCAACTGCGAACAAATGGAGGAGATAATAGCCTCATCAGATTCAAATGATACATCATCGGATAAATTCACTTTTCCCAAGTTAAGGAAATTGAAGTTGTTACAGTTAGACCAATTGAAGAGCATCTGCAGTGGAGTTATGGTTTGTGATTCTATTGAAGTTATT